AAATATTTGGTTCAAAGCATAGGTTGTACATCTGGTGGAAGAAAGGTGAAATATACTTACCTGAATGCATAGCACCTACCAAGAAGCATGGGAGAGACAGTGTGATGGTTTGGGGGTGTTTTTCTGCTGAGGCGACAGGAGATATTTACAAAAATAGATGGAATAATGGACCAGCACAAGTACCATCAGATACGGATCTATCATGGTATATCCAGTGGTTTGTGTATTATTGGTAAAGGATTCTACTACCAAGAAGATAATGACCCCAAACATTCATCGAACATATGCAGAAATTACATAGTTAAGAAAGAAGCTGCTGGAGTCATTCAAATGATGCAATGGCCCCCCACAAGGCCCTCATCTCAAACCAATTGAGCAAATTTGGGATTTGATAGATCAAAAACTTGACAAATCAAAGTTAAATCCAAAGAAACTTTATGGAAGTGTACTAGAGACATTTGGAATAAAATCCCAATGGACACTTTGAATAAATATGTTCCAACAATGCCTGAAAGACTGTCTGCAGTTATTAAAGCAAAAGGGGGACACACAAAATATTAACCGTTTGCTGAACTCAAGCCCTTCCACTCAGTTTCTGTTGTACTAAATATGAAAATTAATAAAATTTTAATGTTTCACCTGTGATTTACTTCCAGTGTTCTTTGAAAGTAGTCTGAAATCTAATTTTTGACTTTGTCCTAAAACTTTTGGACAGTATTAATCAAACACAGTTTATTACTTGTAAACATATTATATCTCGTTCCATAACTAAACCTATTTATAATAAATGAAATGGTTTTATGTAATTTAAACTCCAACAACGAGAAAAAATTGACCCCATATCTAATCAATACAACTGGCAAATTTAGTAGCCACTTTTTAACTGTATAATAATCACATTTCGACTCTCCTGGTTTGTCTTAAATGTAAATCTGTAAATATCAATAGCTAGTACTATTTCTATGCCTGGACTTAAGTGAATTGTGATGTGATTTATTACAACATATGTCTTGATTACGTTAAACATTATCCTATTTTCATGATATCAGAAAAATACGTAGGTTCACGAAGTCTTGATACAAAATGATAAAAACACTTAACCCGAGCACTTTCGAAAGGTCGACCTTTCTTCTTCAGAGGCAAACTGGGAACAGTATCTTACTTTCACTTGCCATGTGTGAAAATTTACACAAAGTCCCAGCTACGAATAGTTTTTCCCTAATTTTGAACTACCACCATTATCTCAGCAGTAAGTCAGCAGGCTTATGAGGCAAAAATCGGGTTTAAATAACCGTGGTGTGCAGTAAACAGATAGCCCATTGCGTAGCTTTGTGCTTAACAAAAAAAAACAAAAACAAAATAATTTTGAATTAACAGGCTAGAATGAAGTCATCTAGTCAGTAGCACCTACCACCACCTCTTAGTTTTTATTATCTGACCAAACAGTAGGATTTCACTATTATCCTTATATCTCATGCATAGCCCCAAAGTACAAACGAAATGTGTTTTTGCGGCAATGGGACACAAACTATAATCTCTAGATTCGCATTTCAGACATGATAGACACTAGGCTAAGCCAGGCCTAAACCCTCATTTAAACGTGGTTGTTTATTTATAAGCCACTGACCAATTTCCTATATAATTCAATACACTGCTAAATCAATAAGTAAATAGACCCCTCCCCTCGGGAATACAAATGAACCATCTCTGTGACGTTATATGGAAATAATCCCGAGCTGCAGGTTCGAATCCCTTTACTGAACATGATCGCCCTTTCAGCCGTGGTGCCGTTAAAATGTGACAAATGATAAAGAGTAGCCCAAGAGTTGCCTGGGTGGTGTTGAGTGTTGACTAGATATCTTCCTTCTAGTCCATCACTTCAAAATTAGGAATGGCAAGCACAGATAGCCCTCGAGTAGCTTTGCACAAAAACAAACAGACAAACAAATAATCTCAATGTATTGATACAGTTACAGGTCAGTAAACACCACAGAATAGAGACAGCCATGCCACAAATAAAAGGATTTCGAGAATTAACTATATATTTATGAGCTGCTGTTGTTGCAAGACAAGTGCAGGTTCACCTTAGTACCATCAGAGATTATCTTCACTCTTTGGGTCACAATATCAGAACACCTAGATAGTAACCCTTCCTCATTCTAGGCGATATCATATGTCGACACCAATAGGCATCATAGATGTATATCATAACCTCCTCCCTTCTTGGATACACTATATCTTTATGAGCTGATGTTGTTGCAAGACAAGTGCAGGTTCACCTTAGTACCATCAGAGGTTATCTTCAATCTTTGGGTCACAATATCAGAACACCTAGATAGTAATCCTTCCTCATTCTAAGGGATATCATATGTCGACACCAATAGGCATCATAGATGTAAATCATAACCTCCTCCCTTCTTGGATACACAATATCTTCTTTTCCTATTTTCATATTTGCAAACTTCTTGGATAGTAGACGCACATGGGTTCAGTGACTCTCTTTACTATAACGTTTATTGAACTGTCTACGAGCTATAACAAAATACAACAGTATTTCTATTATGATATAGGTAGCATATGGGCAGCAGAACAATCACAGTTGAGAGTACATGTTGTTCACTGTTGCTTTGTTCATCACAATTCTCGAATGAGGAATTCTACCTGTTTTCATCAGTGACCATCTTACCAGATAAGAAAGTGTTTTCCTATGAGTTTAGGCTTCAGGTCATTCAGCCCAAGTCACAAAACAATGACTTGAAGGTAAGGGAATTACCAGATATGAACCCTATCGAGTATGTGTCTTTTGGTATACAAGACTGTTTAGTGTAGGTAGTGTTAGTTAATTTATTTTGTGAGTTGATATTTCATGATTCTTTAGTTTTAGGCGATAGTTATGACATGTTTGGTTACTTAACTTTATAAGAGTTGTATTGCGTTTCTAATTCATTCATGTCGAGGCTATCATACCTTGTGTTTGCAATTCATTGATGTAGAGGCTACAGGATTTTCTAGAGGTCTCAGTGATAAACATATAAATTGTGACGACCAAACGAGCGGGAGTGGAGTAAATGTTAAGTCAAGTGAAAGAGAAGTTCAGTCGGAGAAAAGTTAGAAAATGTGAAATTAGCCATCATGGGAGTGAATAGCCTTAATGGTTGATAAATTAAAGTGAGATTAACAGTTAGATAGAGATAAGGAGGATAATTTATCTTGTCAAAGAGTGTTTTAAACTAATTGAACCCGCCTGTATGGACTTTGATGAAAAGAAGACAATTACTGAAAGTTCAGGATACAACTGTGGTAACCTATGAGGCAACGTAAGTGAATTATTCACCAATACTATATTGATAAATGTAGAGAAAAATAGTTTGGCTTGTCAACTGAATTCTAAAGCAATTGAATAAGCCTAAGTAAACTTTTGACAAGAAGAAAAGAACTGTATAGTGTTTAAGATACAACTGTGATCTCCAGTGTAAAGAATGTGGCGGTCAATCCCACTATTCGTTAGTAAAAGAGTAACCCAAGAGTTGGCGGTGGGTGGTGATGACTAACTGCCTTCCCTCTAGTCTTACACTGCTAAATTAGGGACGCCTAGTGTAGGTAGCCCTCGTGTAGCTTTGCGCGAAATTCAAAAACAAACAAACAACAGAAGTTTTATCTTTTCT